CTATGTAGAAACGTATCGGTCCAGCTCCGCCCCCCTCTCCTCCGAGCCCTTCCCGCGGTTCTCCGCATCTTCGACCGAGCCCGGTACTTTTCATTACCTGCGACATATCGGCCAGACAGATTGAATAATCCAAGCGCGAGACAAAAAACAAAAGTTTATGATCCCCTGTCCGCGGAATGTCCCTATTCAGCGGCGATGCCATAGGCTGGCTTGAGATCTGGGGCAAGATCGAAATCCAATATGTAGAGCCGGCGCTCTCTCGCTCGGCCACAGCAATCGAGGGCTACGGGTTTTACGAACGACGACGGGGGACATTAAATTTAACGAATCCGCGGACAGTACGAAACGTGCTCGTTGATATTATCGATGCACGGCGGAGCTTCTCCCGGTTTCTAGTGGCCTTCCCGGTCAAATTGAGTTTCTGCCCGGCTATTTACCGGGAACCCTGCCCATCCGTCGCATCGGATCTCTATCAATGGCTCTTGGTAACAATTAGAACACTGGTAAAAATTATTCCATCACGATCCGCGCAGTAATTGCACCAATATCCTAATTCCTCTTCATTGCCACCGACTTCCGTCTACGGAACATTTTTCAGCTTCTTACACTGATGGAATTCCTAATCTCTCTCGAAACACAGTAAATCATAAATCATTTCCACCATATTTTTAAAGAGGAGAAATGTAAGTATGAAATTTCGTTAACGCAGTCGTCTCTAATGCGAACTCTCAATGATTCATTATTATATTACACTTTTTTTTTATAGAATATAAAATTTATGAAAGTGTGTAAAGTACTACATTTTTATTGTGCACAGTTATTCAGGCTCGGTGTATTCAGGTAGGAAGCATAGTAATCGAAGCACAGTATTCGGGGAGACAGCGCAATAACTAGACAAATTATTTAATACAGAGATACTATTGAATTTGACTGAATTTTGTTTTAAGCTTCTTACACAATATTGTAACAATTGACAGATTGCTTACGACAGAAGCATAAAGAGCTCAAAGAATTTATGTGATCTAAAAACAAAAAATGAAGTACAAATACGCCACAAACGTATAAAGATCGGCAACGTATGAAATGAACAGATAACGCTGCAGAGAAAGGTGTTCGCGGTTCCGCAGTCAGACTTAAATAATTTTCCATTCGAGCAGCAATCGATACAGATCATCCGGATTTTCGTAAGAATTCCATCCCCGATATCTCGAAAATAACTTCGTTTCGTTGATCGGCGCACTTACACGATAAGTTGGACGATATCGACACGCTGTTAATTCCAGCTGTCCTTCCTCTCAGCTTCGTCCGCAAAGCGATAACCTACCCCATTGCTAATGGCGGACATTATTACGAGCAACTTCGAGAACTTACTCCCCCCCCCCTCTCTTTCTGTCTCGCTCTCTCTCTCTCTCTCTCTCTCTCTCTCTCTCTCGCTCTCGCTCTCCACCCCCCTGGAACTCCGCCGCATCGCCGCGGCGCCCGCTTTCACCCCGCCAACTCCCCGACGACCGACGTCGAACGATTTCCACGTGTATAGAACGCCGATGCGTACTTATCTGCAACCCATGCCCGTCAGTCGTGTGATCGAAACATGGGGCAAAGTAACTTAGAGTCGCGGCAGGTGTGTATCGATTGCGAATAAAACGGAGGACAACTGACAGGTAGCTGACCCTGGTGAATAAATTAGAAACTGGGAATCGTTGTCGTTGTATCAAGGATCTTCGATCGGCCAAGTATAATGATCGATGGGTCGGTCTAAGGGTCGATTAATTTTTCTTCTCTTGTTATCTATGTACAAATTTTTATCATTTTTCTAGTTTAATGGCGTGTTTCGGATTGTTAAATAATTGGGACGTGCTAGAGTTAGAGGTGCGATGTTGTTATTCGAAAGGATTGGAGATTTTTACGTTGGTTCGAGGTGGTTGATGTTCATATTTTGAAGAATGATCTTTAGTTTGGAGAGATCGTGGACATTATTTTAGATGGAATTTTTGGTGAAAACGATTTCCAATTTAGAAACTGAGAATCTTCGGTACTCATAATTCAGTGCTCATAACTTTAGGAGTAACTTTTTAATACATGTTTAATTCTAAATAACTCTTTCTCGTTTCTCAATAATTCATTTTCATCTTGAAGGAATGATTTCGTTTCTGGAGACTTGTATCCAAGAATAAAAAGTTGCTCGAATATGTGTAATCTATAAATGGAAATGTTTCAATCTGGATGACATTATGACGATCAAATCGAGCAATGCAAAAGTCGAACATCTTTGGAAATGTTAAAAAATGGTTTGGATAACCTATGCAAACTTTCCAAATTTTCTGTCGACACAAGTGATACAGAAACGTTTCACTACTTTTCTGTTAATCCTCGATGTATAGCCATATAAACAATTACGAATATTAATATTTTTGAAAGAGAGATTCCATGGTTTTCAGAAAGGAATAAATGAACGAAGAAACGTGTGTCTATACCTCTAAGAAAATTACTGCGTGTTCGTCGGAAAACCGAACAAGTTTTAAAAATTGACCCAAGTGTCGAAAGCACTATGGTATCGTGATAAGCCCTGATGAAATTTCCAGTTCTATGCGAAACATCCCCCGAATCGTGTTTCCTCGGTGGGAAGGAGAAAAAGGGAGGCGAAAGCGAAAGAGAAGAAACCGGGCACGCCGGGAGAGTTTGTCAAACAGCGTTGGGAAAAAAAACAAACGAGTAATCGTTTTTCCGATCCGTCGCTCACATCGCCGCACCGCTTCGCTCCACGCCGCTCCGCACTGTTCCACGCGCACGCGGCGCTGGATCTTTCGGTGCGCGCCGGAGGCGTGAATTCCGCGGGATTGCAGCTTTGCTCCTCAATTAACCCCCCGGTAAAAAAGGATGAGGCCTAACCGGGGGAAACAATTGATGCGGTCTCGTTCGCATCGACGTTGCACCGCGCGAAACGCATTCAGCTTTAAAATCGTTCGCTTGTCTCCGTGGCTGTGTTGGCTCTTGCCACGAGCCACCCCTGCGCACAGCCTCTCGCAACCGATATTTTCGTAGCCGCCTGTTCCCGTAACACGTGGATAGGCTCCGATACGAAACTTCCGAGCACTCGCGCGACTCACGTTCTCGCAACGATTGCCCTTTCTCTCTCTTTCTCGCTCGCTCCCACGCCTCGTGCCGCCTTCAACCAGTCCTGATTCGTCAGCCGCTCTCAGTTCACCTCGCTGATTCGAAGAACCAATCCCACCCCCCGATCGCGTACGGGAATAAAAAATACGGGAATATTGCGTGGGAATATTGGATCGTATCGATGACACGCATTCCACGTTTCCTTCGCTCCCGGTTGCGGGGATGGGAAAGTGGTGCAATTTTGCGCGTTGCTGGATTATCGAGCGGCCTTCGAACATAGGAATGTTTTTAGAAGAAATTGCCTCGTATTGCGTCGATTTTCGATGCGCGATTAACGTTTTGCCGGGGCGATATAATATATACAATACTTTGGTGTTGTCAGGGAGAACAGATTAACGTATCGTCAATATTTCGGTTCGGTGATGATTGCACCATTTTCCGAATCAAATACGAGGACGGAAATAATTCTGGAGATATTTTCAAGGGAATGTTCCATTGCTTTGTTTCGAAAGAAATAAGTTAACTGATATTCTTTGTTCACTGGTAATGCTACAATAATGGCGACGCGAGCCTTTTTCTTACACGACGTATGTAGTTGAACGAAAGCTAAAGCAGAAATGAGTGTAGAACGCATAAAAAAAATGCTGTTTGTAAAAAAAAATAGAGTGAATTATAAAGAGGACACTCTGAATAAACCTTGATGTTAATATAACTATATATCGTTATAGTTATATAAGTTATATAGATATAGTTATATCAGTATTGACAATGTTATTAATGATTTGACAGATCTCGTAGTAAATTTCAATGTAAAAATTTATTTTGAGATTTATTTGCAGAAAAATCAGATGCAATTGTTACTGTTTTTTGTTCGAGTTCAAAACATTCCACGATTTCTCTGTCAGAGAATTACAGATTTTTGTTGCCTGAATTTTAACGTGGATCGACACGAATCGATAGTTACGCAGAATTTTCATTACACAAGATGCATGATACGCATTTGCATAGACGCGGTAATAATGAGAGACGCTCCGTGACGATAGTTCAGTCGATCACGGTCATCATAAATTATTAACAAAGCACGATCAATGCATAATAGACAGTGCCTTGTTGCTACAACGATTCTAACATTACGTGTAACTATGACGGGGATAATAGAGCACAGGGAACATTTCGTTTCTTTAATTATACGTGAATATACCTGTATCATTTTCCTTGTATCTCCCGATTCTATGAAATCCAGAAGCTACCTTTTCGATGTATTGAATGCAATTTCGATTTCGTTTCAATTATTTAGAATCGATTTAAAGCCGATGAATCAAGAAAATCCATAAATCCGTATCGGTGTTTCGGCGGCCGTTGAACGTGCATACGCAAGAACGCCTTACGTGTAATTTAATCCATCGGGTAATTACGTTCCGACCCCAAGCGATTTAAAGTTATCCAGTCCGGTGGTCGGCCGATATCGATTCTAGCGAATCGATTCGATAAAATTAATAAAGAGCTTCTGCTAAGCTCATTAGTCGCTGATAAACGAGTATCGAAGCGGACTATTAGTGGGAGTTGAGTTTCGCGTGACATGGGCGGTATCGGCTCCGCGGGATAGAATAGGATTTCGCGAATGTGATTCTATATTTGTATCGACGGTAATGTAATTACGTTCATGTTCGATTTCATGACAACCGGGAACAGGCAGCGATCGGTGAACAAGGCTCCCGAATATGCTGAATATCGAACAATTACTCCTCGCACTGTTTTATCGGTGTCTGCTGCGAATTAATTAACGCTGTGGCCGCGCGGGAAGAAGATCGACCCAGGTTCCGTCTCGCCTTTATCCCGTGGACCCGACCTGTACGCGACTAACCGTGATTTTCGTCTGTTTGCAGATCAGCCAGCTGGTCGAGGAAGTGTCCAGGTTACAACAGAGCCTGCAACGTCTTCAAGAGACCAGCGCACAGGGTGCGGCGCGGCTCGAGGAGGAGCTCGATGCCCGCAGACAACACATCAGCAGACTGGAGAGCAAACTCGAACGACAGAGGGACTATGATGACCTGAAGCGGGAGATCAACGCGCTCAGATCGGTCGATCTCTCGCAGATCCCGACCGGCGAGCCGGGCAAGAGCCTCGAGCACCTCCTAATGGAGCGCTCGAAGGCGCTTCAGCAAACAGAGAGCTTGAAACCGTCGTCCAACACCCCGGACGCACTCGGTGAGTCCATCCAAATGATTTTTTCTATGCTAGGACACGAGAAGCACAGCGACCCCCCTGCTATCGCTACCCGTAAAACCTCGATCCTCGTTTTCGTCAACATATTCTGCATCTGTTGCGCAAAGATAACGATAATAGGGGCATCGCTGTGCTCGAGAGACCTCCGGCTTTCCGCAAATAACAGTCAACGTTAGAAGCATCGACTATGGTTCTCGTGGCGGTAGGTTTAGATCAGGAATTGTCGATGGCACCGTTTGCTAAGCGTTCTTGTATCGGCAAGAAATGGAAGAGCCGCAATCCTCTTCCATTTCTCGTTGGCTGGTATACACTGATTCCTGCGCTAAAGCTACAATCTTCGATCCCCGACTCTCTCTCTCTCTTCGAGGCTACGTCGAAGGAGCCAGTGTTGAGTAAGAATGAAAAGGACACGAGTCACGCAACGCGGACGCTTTTGTTTCGAAAGAACGAGGGATGACTGAAGGAGCTTACCGAGAGAAAAGGAACAACAAAGTAACTCTGCTTGCCACTGTGTTCGCACTTCTGTCTAACTGTAATATCTCTCTGTCTCTCACTCTTTTTTCTGTGCCTCTGTTCCTGTCCTCACTGTCTAACTCTCTAATTTTCTTCATCTACGGCCCTGTCTGTCCCAGTCGCTCTTCTTCTCTCCGACTATTTTTCTCTCGTCCTCGCATCGGGTCTCTTTCTTCCCTCTATTTCTATCACACTCTTTCCGTCTGCCTGTCTCTCCGTGATCCTCTACTGCTTCGACTGCACTTTTTCTCGAGCTGTTCTCTCTCGCTGGTTACATCGGCGCCCATCCTTGTAGCAGGAGGTGACTAACAAAATCTGCACGTTGACCCTGGCCAAAAAAACACGTATACACCACGATCATCTCTCCCCCGGCCCAGCCCATTACTTCACCCCCTCATAGCTGCCCGACCACGAGCATCTGCACGCTGGGAATAAGCGCGAATGTTCGCGTGGCAACACACGAGCTCGCGGACGAGTGACATACGTTTACCGGTCGTGTACGGGGGACAGGATCTATCGGTCGCGGGTCGATCGAGAACGAGAGAGGAGCCGACAGAGAAAGAGACGTCAGACCTTGTCCCGGATTCCAGGCCGAACAAACCCTTTTCGATACGTATGCTCGCGGCTTCTCCTCCAGAAGACCATGTTCCCGACAAAAATCTGTAAACGTTCCACGGAGCGACACAGAATCACGACCAAAATAAAAAAACCCGAGAGAAACAAGCGAAACAAAAGAGCGAAAGAGGAGGAAGAGGCTAGCGAAAGAGACAGACAGAAAGAAAGAGCACGCGCAACACTTTTCCTCTCGTTGGGCCACGTTGTTCCTCGTTGTTCTGCGGACTCGCGCGACGCAGCGTCGAATGAAATAAAGAGAGTCTCGGTCGTCGTCGTCCGTCGATTCCACGATTCGTCAGGTTCGTCCTATCGTCGACTCCGTGAGGTTCGTCGGTCCAGGAGGAAGAGAATACGCTCCGATGCGTGCCGCGCGCGCTTTGCAGCTCGTGTTCACGCGGTCCCTTGTGTTTTTGGTGGTTGCAGGTGGACTATCGTCACCCCTGCAGCGCGCCTCCACCGCCTCGCCCCACGGGGTCGGTGGTGTTCCGCCTTCGTCCCATGTGTCCTCCCAGCAACCACCACCGCCGCCCCCAGCAGCAGTCACCCTTCCGCCGCGATCCACTCCTACACCGTCTTCAGCGACCTCGACCACGTCCAGTCTCCTGTTCCCACCCCCTCTTCAGAATGTCGAGACCTTCGGCTCCTTCCTCGGCGAGGAGATCGTCGCCAACTGGAGGCGGACGTTGGAGAGGTCCATCATGAATCAGCAGCAGCAGCAGCAACAGCAACAGCAACAACAACAACAACAGCAGCAGCAACAACAACAGCAGCAGCAGCAACAACAACAACAACAACACCAGCACCAGCAACAACAGCACCAACAGCAACAGCAGCACCAACAGCAACAGCACCAACAGCAACAGCATCAACAGCAACAACAAACGACGGCGTTGAGCCAATTGTCGCAACAACAACAACAGCTACAACAAGCTCAGCCGCTGATTGGCCTGCATCCGCCAACGAATACCAGCAGCATGAACCATCTTCCATCGCCTACGGATCCGTCGTCCAGCTCGAACACCCCGGCCAAGTCGAATACTCCTCTAGGAACCACTCCACTGAGTTGCCTTGACGCGGCCGAGAAGGCGCCCACGCCAGTCTCCGGCCACGAAACGCCCGCGCCGCCCACGCCGTCGTCCACCACCGCGTTAACATCACCCCCAAGCTTTCAGCCACCCACCACGATCATCGAGACCGCCTCCTCGGCCTCCGTGAACGGCGGCAGCGTGATCCCCGCCGTCCCGACGGCTCCGCCGCCAAAGAGTCCGGCCGACCAGGAGTCCTGTCATAACAACAACAACAGCCACCACCTGGCGAACAATAATATCGGCGGCCTGAGCGTGTTGGACACTCTGAAGAGCCCGTTTCGCTTCGACGACAGGACGCACCCGTTCAGATTCGGCGACGAGTTCGGCGCCGCCGGCATGGCCGGCCGTCTCGGCGAGTCTTTAATACCGAAAGGCGATCCCATGGAGGCCAGGCTGCAGGAGATGCTGCGTTACAACATGGACAAGTACGCCTCGCAGAACCTCGACACCCTGCATATAGCCAGGAGGGTCCGCGAGCTGCTGTCGATACACAACATCGGCCAAAGGCTGTTCGCCAAGTACGTGCTAGGGCTCAGCCAGGGAACGGTCAGCGAGCTGCTGAGCAAACCGAAGCCCTGGGACAAACTGACGGAAAAAGGCCGCGACAGCTACCGAAAGATGCACGGCTGGGCTTGCGACGAGAACGCTGTTATGCTGCTGAAATCCCTGATACCCAAGAAAGGTGAGTACAGAACGCTGTCTCTCTCCAGTTGTCCTGCCATCGAGGATCTGCGAATCACTTCTGGCCGAGCGGTGAACTAAGAACGTCCGGCGTCGAAACGGGACCCTCTAAATACACCGAACCTTCTTTGTCGTTGCGTGTTTTGCATTGGACATTCTTTCGGGGATATCTGAGCCCCGATATGACGGTTTAGAGGACCCGTTTCGTTCCTTCGAGGAATCATCGACAGGTCGAGGTTCGACCACGGAATTACTTGTACCGGTCGATGATTCTTCCGTTGGTCGATGACGGACCGTTCCAGCGTTCGCCGCCGATCAATTTACCGTAACGACTCCTACAGAATTATTTTTCTGCCTCGCACTGCCAATAATCTGTTCTGCCGAAACCACTAACCATCAGCTGTCAGTTAACTATATTTTTCGGCTGTCTAATAACGGGGTGTCACTGGTGTCTCTGTTTGGCCTAACTCTACCGCGAAGGAGGACGCATTGCGTACTGCATACCGGAGGTCCCATCCCTCTAGAACGCGGAATCTGGATCTCGTTCGAGGACAGTGAATCGATCCTCGAGGTAGCCATGCGTTGGTGACGTCGTGAGCTTTCGAATATCACTCACATGTGCCTTTAGTCGGAGCAGGTGTATTTCTTTTAGCGTTATTTATATACAGGTCTATGAACCACATCGTAAAATGTCCCGGTCACTTTCCGACCAATTTATAATTTGTACGATGTTACTTTTAACATCCTCAGCCAGGATCGGGGCTGTTTCCAAATTTATGAATCGCGAGCGCTATAGGTGACTGCGCAACAGGCTGCTTTGAATCGCATGCTGCTACGTACACGTGCCGATGTTCAACGTAATTGTAGAACATTATGCAACGGAAATAGGCTAAAGCCGGCGATGTGTCTTTCGCTTACTTAAAACACTAAGAACCGACCCGAGTAATTTCGCTGCAAATGCAATACCGGCGGAACGTGGAGAACACAATATTGCAACAAAACTAGTTACAGCACTCATTACTTTTTAATTGAATCTTTTAGAAACAACTGCAGTTTAACCGTGCAACACGAGCAAACAGTGAGCAGTATTCGACAATGTTTAGAAACTATAGATTTCAATCGCCACGGGACTATCTTTAACCGTCGATGTGCTCTTTCATTTAGATAGTGTCGAGCAATGAAAATTGGTCAATTTATGCGTTCCTTTAGTTTTTAAACAATTACGAAAAGTTGGATCGAATGTGTCCAAAGGCGAAGCGAAACTCTACAGCGCCCGGGAAGACGCGCGAGACAAACGAGCGCGAAGACGACGCCTGATATCTCGCGTTTAATAATCTTAATTAAATTATTCAGCCAGTTGGCGCTCCCGCTATCGATTGTTCGCTGCGTTTGGCAGCCATATTGTTTAGACTAATAGCTCTCTGGAGTAGGGAACCAGGGATGAGTTCTAGCCAAGGGTGCAATACGTACAGGGAGAGAAACACGAGGATGAGAAAGAGGTAGGCGGGTGGAAAGGAAACAGGGTTCAAGAGAGAGCACAGACGTTCTAGATCCGGCCGCACTTATCGCGAGGGTAATTTACACTTTCGCTAGATTGCCGAGGGATCGTGAAATTGTTCTCGTTGAAACCGTTGCGACAATCTTGCCTCGTTGCCTCGGCCTCCCGATCTACCGGCCAAATTAATCGTGATCGTGGTCGGAGATGCTGCACGATCGATCCCCAACTCCACCAAGGCTGCAGAATACATTTACATGATTGTTAAATGATCGTAACTGGTACGTTCGCAGTTTTCAAAGCTCTTGGAGAAGTTAAGAGACGTTGCAAAAGTTTCATTCTTTTCGGAACTATTTTCATTTCATTGCAAAACTATTAATCGTTTGATTGTCAAAAGCGTCATTTAATTCTTTAGCTTTTACAAAATTTTGTTAAATCAGGAAGACCGAGCTTTAATTTAAAAAGAAAGTAAAGTTGAAGATATCTAAGCATCTCCAAAACTGTGTAAATAACAGTAGAAACGCGCCTCATTAACGCGAATTCTGCAGTTGCGATGGAACGTCTGTTTTCTGAGAGTTGATGCAAGAAACAAGATGCTGCTTTATTACAGTTTTGCAACGTCTATTTACGAAAATTGCAGTCTGCGTACAATCCCCCATTCATTTGTTAGTTTCTGTTAGAGAAATTCAACTTTGGTTGATTGTTATGGCGACGACAGGCAGAGATCCTCAGACTGGGTCATCCGAATCGCAAACGGCCCTTTCGCCGCTAAATCACGAGGAACGCGGGTGGCAATCGCAAGAATGAAACTGCCGATAAACAGACTTGGACCGGTACCAACTATCTTTATTATGGTAATCTCGTGGTGCGTTGCACTTGGACCGGTCGCGTTTGGATCGATCATTTTGCGCCGATTGCGGGCAATAATGAACTCTGAGAATGCGGTGCCCGATTGACACGATCCAGACACGTTCGTCGCGGAATTAGCGGACGGATTTTTGCGGAAGCCCTCCTCTGCTCGCGATCGGGAATCCCGATTGCTGTGCAGGACACGAATCGTTTTGAAACTGTCACAGGTATTTCCAAGACGCGATTCGTGAGACCGTAACTGTCAGATGCAAGACGTCGTCGTGATCGTCGAGCGAGCGAGGTTATCTTAGCTTTACGATTGCTTTAGATTCGGACATTTCTATAACGTTTCGCTTGAGAATTTAGAAAGACCATCGTTAACAATCTCGCTGATTAAGAAAAGTACCGGGTGTCTCGTCTGAATATGATACACCGACGATGAAACACGTTTAAAGACGTTTGACAGGTCCGTAAATCTATCGAAACGTTTAAAGAAACAGGCACTGCAGTCCGGTTGTTAATCGTTCGAAGCCAGGGAAACATTTTTACAAACCTGGCACAAGCGTGCGATACAAAATAAACGTTGATCAGAAATTCAAAAATTCAAAAATTCGATCGCGATATGTATGTAAAATATTGAAGTTCTGCATAGTTCTACACGCTTGAAGCTCGATGGGAGATAATTATATTTGAATGAAAACCACATCGGGTTGGTAAATAGAACAGCGATCCCCTGCTTGCGATACGCGGGAAATTTATCGGGCCTGTCATTTTCCCGCGGGAACTCGGTTAATTGTCGTCGATATCTAACGATCGCGGAGCGTTCTTTTCCAGTTCGATGACGATTTGTTTAGTCCGGTCATTTCGGCGGCGTTGCTAGTTTGAACGGGGATCTTTCACGATCGAGCGGCCCTTTGAAACGTTTTATAGCGCGGACACGATCGCCCGTGGGACTCTAATTGTCCGATTATAATTGTAAAGTTGTTCCACCGTGTGGCTTGAAATATGCTTGTTATTTCCTCTCCGGCGAGTAAATAAATGGGATATAAAGCACACACAGAACCGGAACGCGCAGCGCGGTTTGATTTTCAAACCGGGGATTCAGTCGATGTATCGCTCGTTAAATCTTTGAAATAATTCTCTGGCATTGAGCTATTGGCCGACGAGCGAACGCGAATAAGAAAAATAGAGGGGGAAAAGGAGGAGGAGGAGGTGGAGGAGGAGAAGGAGGAGGAGGAGAGTTCTTGTTTCGAAACAGCGAAAAAATGTTGCAATTAGGAGATCGGACATGAAATTATAGCCGAACCACGTAATTAACGCTTGATCGTAACGTTCATTGACCCAATCCGTGAGAGATAACGTTATCAGCGGGTGATTATGATTTCGAAATCCAGCTCGACGCCGATGAAAGAGTAAGGGGACTCGACGCGTTCGGGGATTCGTCAATCAACCGGCTCTCTACTCGATGATCATTGCGTCGAATCAGTCGATCGTTCCCTTAACAAGACCGGCTTCAATTCCGCGCAGACGCGATCGTTCTGTTTTTATTATTCTACCGTTCGATTGTTTAATTGCGTGCGATCACTTCTGATCAACCCGTAGAAAGAAACTGTTGAGAACTATTCTTGTAGCTCCGATTCACCGACTGGAAACATCGAGATAGCTTCCGCTTATTATTTACCTAACAAGTTACGCATTCAGACAGCAAAGAATTTCAGTTGATCGCAGGCTTTTCGAAGCATTACGGTAAACGTGTTCCTTTGTTCTCACGTAAATACTTTGAATGTACATATTTTCGAAAGGTCCAATATTATGTTGCAAGCTTTTAACAATAACTGTTACGGAACCCGACAAAATTAGGGGTTGCTAGTTATTTTAATTTACTATTATTCAGATTGTAAAGATACATTTAAGTGTTATTTATTCAATACATATGTTACTTGCGGTCAATGTTACAGTAACATTCGTTAAAAATCAGAAGTCTATGTTATATGTAAAGGAAATTAAATCATTTCTTTGCCAAATATCAAATATCAAAATTGATTCATAATATTGACGGTTATTTGAAAACTAAACTAACCGCCAATAGATAAACTGTTTTTAATCAGTTCTATACGTTATTTCAATAATTCAGAAAAGATTTATTTGAAAATTGTTTCGTTCGTTCTCTTATTTGAATTAGAAAGCGTCGACTTTTGCGCCGAATGCAGATTGATTGAGAGCTAGTGGGCAACAGTTTGCCATAAAATTTTCATTTCACACAGTCCGACTATTTAAGGCAGTCGAGACGAGAATATTTTCCGGAAAAATAAGCATCCGTTGAGCGCACCGAATTTTCTCGTTAATTAGGTGTTCCCGGGACTAATTCAAAGAAGGAACCCCGACAGCGCAGACAGCGGCCGTGTATGTATCTCGCCGTCAATTAAACAAGCTATACGCAGCCACGCACGTCTTGCGCGTGTGGAGGAGAAAGAACCACGCACACGTCCGCCACGCGAAAGTGTTACGTTCATTAGCGGGGCCACTCCAGTTCATATACCGATTTTATCAGATTTTCTGTGCCGGTTCTATCCTTCCGTCCACCGATGCTTTGCTCGCGCGCCCTCTTACGCATCGCCCGATGCCTTGAAAATTGCAGGATGTTCCTGTAAACGAAT